CCAGGGAGATCTCGTGGTGATGGAACACCTGTCCCAGTTGTGGTTGTGGTCACACAGATCCGCATGTGATAAAATGGCGTACAGCTACACACACAGTGTTGTACCAGTGTCAGCTTCCTGGGTTTGATAGTGCACCATAGTTCCATAAGATGTAAACCCTGGGGGAAACTGAGTGAAGAGGGCCCAGAAAACCTCTGTAATGTCTTTGCAACTTCCTTTGAATCTATAATTATTTCAAAATAAAAAATTAACATAAAATCCTTTTGTAAATAGTTATATAGAAGTTTCTGCACCGATGTTAGCAGACCATGTTGCTTTTAATGTATTAGTGAAGGCAGAACAAGAAACAGAAAAATTAATACAAAGTCTACGTTATACAAAGAATTATTGGTGAGAGATTATTTCAGTTTTGCTATTTGAATTTATTTAAACATATCAACATCAGTAGCTTGTTTCTTTTACATTAAGTATTTAGTTTTTGTGAGTAAAATATATGCTGGTTATTTTGTAGATTGAATTACAGAAATTAGAATTGTCAACACAAGATGGCACTAAATAAAAGTAAAAAAAAACTTGGTTTTTAGAAATTGTGAGCTTTGCTACATATGGTTAAAACAAAACTCAACCAAATATTTATCAAGTGAATCCTTGTTTAACTGTGCAGTTACTGAAGTCCCACATTTACACGAAAGCTGAATTGTGTTCAACTTCAGTAATTTAGTTTTAATAACTGGTTCTGTCTTCACTAATTGAAACATTTAAGCTTTACTGCCTTCTCTAATCATCACTTAAATTTTCAGAGGTACACAAGAAAAGATCTATAGTGAAATCAAGTTAGAAATACCCAGTAATCATAAAATGTTAGCATTCTCTATTTACAGTTTTCCAAACTAACAAATAGCTTTGAAAGACTGAAATTACACCAAATGAAACAAAACAAATTTCAACGAAAAGAATTAAAGCACCCTGAAGAAGAAATACCCTTTGAACTGAGCAACTTGAACCAGAAATTAGAGGTGAGCTATCTTTTCTTAGTTTCTTCACATGTATTGTGAAGATTGATTTTCGTCGTCGCTGTTGTGAGCTGTTTGTCTGCAGCGTACACAACAGCATGTACAGCTGTGGTAACAAACACCATTACAAATCAACTTCCCATTGAATATATTTTCTTAGGGCACCTTCCCTTCAGGCACTTAGTGAATTAAAACATCACTTTGATTTATACATCTTTTATACATATCAGCATTTTTGGAGAGCCAGAAAAACAGTTCAAAGAACCTGCAGATGCTGAGTGAAACTGAAGGACATCCCTAGGGTCAGTTAAATCGAATAGCTAATAAATCTTTTAATGGCTATTTAACTATTAGGTTATTAAATCCCAGTGAAGACTCATAAAGGTTTGCAGAACAGGGCTTGGCGTTTCTTTAAAGAAGTAGTGCCACTCCACTATAGCACCCCCATATCACCCAAATTTCTAAAATCTTGGTCCCTCAAAAGGCTTACTGTGATCTAGGTGCACTTATCTCCTAATTTCCCAGCCATGGAAAAACAAACGAGCTACTTTTCTTCCCTGTGCTCTTGAGCATGCCTGCTACAGGTCACGTGACAGCAGATAGCTTCTGTAAACTCTGATTCTCTGCTCTTAGCTGAGTTCCAGTGCTGCTCAAGTATTGCTTTTTAATTGACCTCAAGTTGACCCTTTTTATGTTAGCCCACTCAAATTCCTCTTTTATTCTCAAGCCCTAAACCCCAACTTCTCCCTATCCCCAGCCAATGATTTCAATTTCTTCTATTTCATTGGTAGGTAATGGTTCTGCACCTCCCAATCACCCAAGTAGAAACCTTATAGGAATCTTTGAGCTATTTATTTCTCTGAATCCTCCCGTTCCAGCCGAGGTTTGCCCTTTCCCTGGTCTAATGTGTCTTATATCCTTCTTCCTCCTATCTAATTGTCATTGCCCTGTCTCATATTTCACCATTCTACTCTTCAATTAACAGTCTTCCTCAAACTTTTCTTCCAAAATATCCTTAATAGAAGAAAGAAAAAAAATCTAGGATTACAGCCCTAAAACCAGTCTGTTGGAAAAACACTGTTGTTAGCCTTTAAATTCCTGTAAATTTTACATTCTACTGAATAATGTACATTTTTTTAAATACAAGTTACTACCACTACGTAAAGTTGATCCTTTAGGAAAATGCATCAAGTATAACCAGACTGGGTCTTATGGTGGTATAACCAGACTGGCTTCAGAAATATCCTTCTCTCACAGAAGATGCCCAAAGATGTACACTGTAATACACATGTCTTCATGGAAAATGTAAAGATCAAGTCACTGATTATCCATTTGGCTGACTTTTGGGGGGATTAGTGGGAGAACCACATTCTTATAAATTGTTTAAACTAAAAAAAGCCTTAAATTAAGTACTTGGAGAGTGCATATTTTACATTTAAGGAATTAAAATGTTTATATAACTATATCTCATGAAATTATAGTGGAAATTAGTAGCAAAATATGGCTCAATATATTAGTACCTATATGAAACTTCTAGCACACTAAGTAGATAGTTTAAGCTGTGTGATTATGGAAACACTTCATGTACCTTTTGTTACTTTAACCTGTGAAAAATCAATGTGTAAGAGATGGAACTGTTCCAGTTTTAGTCTACATCTCAGCATGTTTTTCCTTTGGAACAAATATTTATACATTGGTATAGTACTAGAACAATGGGAAGTAGCAAGTTGTGGAAGAACATCATAGTTTATAACTTAAAACACTTCCTGACTAATTTATTTGACCTGTGACCTTTTGGCAAATTGTTAGCCTCACAGAAATACCATTTTTTCACCAAAAATTGTTGAGTTAAAAATATCTTAAAAGTGGCATTGTAGTTATATAAGAAAAATGCTTGTGTGTGTGTGTGTGTGTGTGTGTGTGTGTGTGTGTATGCTTAGATGCACACTGAAGCATTTGGGGGTGAAAATACATGAGGTCTAGAAGTTGCCTTAAAAATACTGCAGCAAAAAAAGGTGGAGAGAGAGATGAAATAAAGATGGACTAGGTCGATGGTAGTTAAATTGGGTGAAGGGTACATGGGTTTTTCTTTGACTCTACTTTTATGTAATTATGAAAATTTTCATAATGTTTAAACTATTTTACAGGTGGAGGTTTGTAGAAAACCTGACATACAACAATTGACAAAAAAGCAATTAGTTCCATCCCTGTATATTTAGTAGAAGGATTTAAAAAATCTAATCATGTGGCTTCCCCTAGAAATCCTAATTTTAATGACCCTAACCTACTCTCAGCCTTCAAGACTGGAAAAAGCTTTTCCAGTCATGGGGAACTTACTCTGGAGGTTTGGGCAAGTCTATAGACTCTCTGAATCAGCAGATACCTCCCGTCTCTACAAAAACCTTTATAAAGCTCTCTAGGTCTGTGTATGCTCCATAGCTACTGGATAAACTGTGCTAGCTTGCTCATCTTGAAACCAGTATATCTGTAAGACCAAGAAAGCCAGGACTGTTAACGTGCACCAGCTGATATGTCTGTGACACATATTTCTAGTCTTGCTTAGCTTCATTCTTGGCCTCATTTCTACCTGTTGTAGAATTTGTAAGGAATTGAGGTTAATGCCCCTGCCGCCTCCTAAAAGTATGCTGAGAGATGTTTATTGTCAAGACTGAGATTGTTGGGTTGGTAATACTAAATATTAGTCTTATCTCAAAGATATGAACTGTATAAATCAACCTGGCCCCCACTTCGACTTTTGACTCTAAAAACCACTTTCTAAATTAAAAAAACAGATTTTAAAATCTATATTGTATTGATTTGAAACATTACCTATTTTGTGCTAGAGCTTAGTTTTTTGTAAATTTGTTAGTATTACAAAAGACCCTGTTTTCATGTACCTAATTTTGAATTCCTGAATGTCAGAATCAGTCAATAACTTTAATTGAACTACTTTTATTTATCTTAATAAATGCAGTTTATTCATCATAAGGTATTATTATATATTTAAAAGGGGGCCTACCCATATTTCTCCAATCTTGTTACTACCATTCAATTTCAGGTCACCTTTAATTACTATAGAAACCTAATTTATAGCCTGCCTTTACTGATTGTTTTGGGACTTGTGGATTTATAAATTGCAAATTTCCCCAAATGTCTGTCAAAATCATTTCTCTGTAGAACTATGAAATGCCATGTTTTCTCATTTTGAGCAAGATGTAGCTTTCCTTCTCTAAATTAGTGTATTTTCCAGCATAGGCAATCCAGTCATTTCAGCTATCTTCAAAACAGTGCAAATCACTTTCCAACTTGACATATTACTGAAGATGGCTAAGATCATCATGACATTCTCTACAGGGCTTTTATGTGTCACTATTATTGTACTTAAAATTATTTGCTTACATGTGCATTTCCCTACTTTGTTATATATTTCTTGATTTTTTTCTTTCAAAAATCTGTTTCTTTTAATCATGAAATATTTCCAAATTCTTTTCTCTTCACAGCAGCATGTGGACACTAGGTGCTTAATAAAAATTATTGAATTGATGCTTGGAAACATCAATACATTCATGCCATGTATCTATATGAAATAATATATGGTCATGGACTCAGTAGCTACAGAGTTTACTTCCAGCCATGTTGTTTGTTTTCTTTGCAAAGTTTAGTGAGAAATATATAAATTCTAAGAAATATTAATAGCATGCTTTTGTCTGTACATTCATGTCACAGCGTGGTGCCTGTACTTTGTTAGGCTCTGTGAATGATACAAAAGTAATGAAATACATAGTCGTTGCTTACAGCCTGGACAGAAAGATAAGATATAATGGTTAGCTCTAGGCAAAACTAAGAAGCAGTGGAGTTTTCTTTGGTCATATCTTTTCCTTGGGTGAAATTGTGAACACTCATGCTCCGTCAATACAAAACTTGAGCAAAAACTTGAAGCACTGAGCATGTGGTATCAAGCTGTTTCCTCTACTTCTTCCCCTGGTTAACCCAGCTGGCACTGCCTCAGTGAGGCCTGAGACGGTTATTCTGTTCCCAAGAATATGTTAATCTTGTCTTCACTTAGTAGCTGTGAAAGCCACAAGGGGACAAAGTCACTAATCAGTCCAAGCTCCAGCCCCCCAACAAACAACGGAACAGGTTTGGTGACTGAGTGTAGCGAATGAAAGAAGGGAAATAACTTAGGGTGTCAGCTTCAGGAAATAGAAAAGAATTACTGGTTGATGTGAAAAGCTGTTTGAAACTCCCTTCTTAGTAATCAGCATTTGTTATCAGAGAAACTTTTTACATCTTTGACAAAATATTTAATGTTCAAGATAATGCAGTTTAGTCTAGATAACTCCCATTGAATAAGTATTCAATTATTTTTTTCTTATTTAAAAACATCCTATAATGGAACACTTTAGAAAATAAAAATATGCTGTGAATACACAAAATGATTATTTTTTTAATATAAGGATTAAGTCACAAATTCCACATTTACTAGCAAAAATTAGAAACTACATTTAGTAATAAATCCTTGGATTTGATGCTTAATTTGTTTTCCTAATGGGGAAAGAGAGTATGTAGTTTTTTTTTTTCTCAGAATGAAGATGAACAAATGAAAGAAGCCCCTATTCATTATAGTTTAAAATGAATACTTTTCTTCAGTTTATGTTTGTCCCTTCACTTTTTTTTAAGGAATTTAGAGTGAACTCCAGAGAATGGGACAAGCAAGAGATACTATATCAGACTCATCTGGTTTCTTCAGATGCTCAACAAAAATTATTATCTGAGAAGTGTAAACAATTTCAGGTATATTATCTAATACTATCCTCTAAATTAGAAGAAATTAGAGGTTAAATTTTAGTATCTTTGCCATTTCAACATGTAATCTTTTTACAGGTAGAAATGCCAACTAAGGAAAATATAACCAGAGTAGGTCCAGCACTGGGTAAAGTCAAAAGTGTATGAAATATCTATCATGGTACATTTATTCTACATGTCTCAAAGGATGGTACTCTTAAAAGTGTCCATTGTAATTATGTCTAAATAACATGTTTTCGCATGCCGGTGGGAAGGCCCCTTAGAAAGCCTAAGATTGTTTGGTCCCTGCCCTCAAGAACCTGACAGCTCAGATGCAGAGATAGTACATGTACATATTTACAGATAATTGACAAGTAAATGGAAAGGGTCCAGATCCTTCTAGAATGCCGAGGAGTAAGAGAAAAATTGGGGCTGAGATAATGAAAAACTGTCCTCCAGCAGGGTTGGGACTGGGCCTGGACCCACATATTTTGAAAATGTATTCTAGGTGGTAGCATGAGCAAGATCACGAGGGAAGGAAGAAAAAGGCAAATTCTGGGAATGGAAAATGGGCCCAATGGCTGGAGTGGGGAATGGTAGACGGCAAGCCTGGCAAGTTGGATACTGATTATAAAGCCTAAAGGTGTGAGTTTGGAATTTTCATTAAAGTCAGTGAGAAGCTATGGCTTTTGTTTGATATTCTTATTTGTCATTCTTTAAGTCACTTATTATACAAGTTACATATGTTCTCTGAATTCATCAATACAAAATGATCTAATGTAAAATTAATAACTTCATCCTCTACTCCATTCTTACCCATTTAATTTAAACAGTGTTAACAAGTGTTTATCTTCCCATACTTTTTCTTTATACAAACATGTAAAATACGTATTTGTGTGGAAGTTGTATATTTTTTCTTTTTAAGATTTTAAAATAATAACAAGCCATGGATATCTTTTCAGGTCACTGCATAAAGTTCTACTTAATTCTATATAATATTTCATAGTATATGGCTTATATACCAAATATATGATATAGTATATAGTAGACATGCCATAATTATTTCAATCATTTCCTTATTGATGAACATTCAGGTTGCTTCCAGTTTTTTGCTCTTACAATATTGTAGCAAATAGCCTTGAATACATGTATCTTCAAATACTAGTATTTTCCTTTTGTTATATAAAAATCCTAGAAATGATTGTTGAGCCAAAGGGTATGTTCAAATTTTTAATGAATACTAGCAGATTACTTCCCAAAAGGTTATAGTAATTTACAATTCATGAACAGGCCATGGGAGTGCCCATATTCTCCCCAGCTTGGTGAAAGTCTCACCAGTCTTTTGATTTTGGCTTGATTTTGCGATTCTCTGACTATTTATAAGCTTGAACACCTCTTCATATGCTTCTTAGCTTCTTTCATTTCCTCTTCTGTGAATTGCCTGTTTAAAAACTTTGCTCATTTTTCTTTTGTGTTGGTTCTCTTTTTCTTACTGATGTGCAGAAGTTTGTGTTCATTAGGAATTATTAACCCTTGTTATATGTATTCACAACTTTTCCTACAATCCAACTGCTTTTTGTTTGATTTTGTTTGTTTATTTTTGGTCATAGAGACATTTTCAACCTTTGTGTAATTGAATCCATAATTTTGCTCTTTTTATAGCTTCTAAATTTTCCTTCTTGCTTAGTAAGATTTCCCTATGCCCAGCCCCCTACCCTACTCTACATCTCTGCTCTGAGGCTATACAGATATTATTTTCTCTTTATGCCATCTGAAACTGAGGTTTTAGAATAAACACAAGACTGAATTACAAAGGGCAAAGCTTCATTATCTAATAAGATATTTAAAGATGTTTCTCCTAAGTCTTTTCTGTCATGCTTGAACTTTACATAAGCTTAAATATGATATTCTCCACTTAATTGACATGGTCTTCATATTTCTCAGAAACAGGCACAAAGTTACCATACTCAACTAAATGGTAAGAAACAGTGCACAGAAGACAGCGGCTCTGAAACTCCTCAGCTGATTCATGAACCAGATCACAGTTTTGAAAATGAAAGAGATGAGTTCATTATTGAAAAATTAAAATCAGCTGTGAGTGGAATAGCATTAAGCAGGAATAAGCTACAAGATGAAAATCAGAAGCTCTTAAAAGAACTGAAAATGTACCAAAGACAGTGCCAGGTGATGATTTATTTATTGTTCAACTGTTACTGCAAAACAGTTATATAAATGCTGATTCAACAGGTGTAAGGAGTAGAAAGCTTATTTTCTATTACATGTGGAAATTTGGTTCATATTACCTCTGAGTAAGTAATTCTCACTTGAGGAGTAAATTCAGTAATCCCACAGGTACTGTACTCCATGAGAGTGAACTTTGGCTCTGCCACCGTATGATGATATGTATTACCAGCGCAGTATGACGTCAGTCACTTGTAGACGTCTATGCTTAAAAACCATTCTCTCTGACCTTATGCCTCTTTGACTCACAAGAATCCTGCATCAGAGAGCCAGGACAGCATTAGGGGTTCAGCAATGTGATAACTCGAGGAAGCCATACATCTCTAGAAATGGAAAAGGTGGTGGTGATGTTTCCTCTAGCTTTGCTATAAGATAAATGAGATCAGCCCTCACTCTTCCACTTTAGAGGTTGTCCATGTGGCTTCTAACACTTAGCTTGCCAGCCAGCCTTCCTGGTCCCGTCCGAGCTGGGTTTGCAAGACTGCTGGTGCTGATGGGATTTTGTCCCTCTCAGGAGCTGCTTCCCATTCTTCTCCCGGGTATGGGACCACTGGCCATGCCCCTAGCCCTGATTTAAAGACATTCTGCAGCTGTCTGTCCTGCCAGCATCTGAACCAGGAACACAATCAATAAATAAGGAGATTATTTTTCTGGGTACTTCCCTAATATTCTCCCCTGGACTTCAGGTCATCCTGAATAAACTGAGGAGCTCTCTTTGTCCCTTCGTGAGGTTTTCTTGGCCCTGGTCTCTAGAAATGTGTTTTCTGTTCAGACCTATATTGTTCTGTTCTCTTTCATTTGCCTGGAACATATTTCATTAGTGAGTCCAGTTACGAAGTCTTGGTTCTATCCTTCAGTGAGGTTCCACTTCTCCACTAACATCAGTTCCTTATAATCTCCCCGACAAGAATTCTGTTTGGACCTATTAACAGCATCCAAGAACATCCTTTTTTATAGGCTGAGGTCAGCTTTGGGCTCTTTGGCTTACTGGTTGAATAGATTTCTCTTTCTCTGTTCCCTTTTCCTGGCAGCATGACTGACTTTCTCTGTAATGCTTTCCTTGATTGACCCCACCTTTCTCCTTCTCAGAAGTTAGAGAATCTTGTTAAAAAAAGAATGTTACAAATAGAGGATGAGTGTAACAGTAACATTCCCAGTTCAGATTACAGTCTTTACCTTCTCTCCAAGTAAATGCCTTAAACCCCTGCTTCTTGCACTGACACACTCCTGCTGACAAGAAGAAATGCAACCTGGGAATGTGAGTGTGTAGCAGGAAGGTAGAGGACTCTGAACCACCTGACGGCCAAAGAGACATTGATTGTCCTTTAGTAACGCCATTTAACCGACTTATCCTCCTGCCCCACGTGCAGCTGGATATGATCATCCCCACCATGATCTCTAGACACTTCCAGGGGCTTATATGCATTCCTGAGAAGGCTCTGTAAATTGTTTGGGCTAAGGAATGTTCATATTACCCATTTTGACTTTTCCTTATGTATCAATGTATTAATGTACTTAATTTATTAATGTTCCTGAACATATACTAATAAAATAAAAACCCAGTTACTCTTACTCATAGAAGTTGACATAATTATGAAATATTTTTTGTTGATATTTATACCAAAGGTTATAAAATAACAGTCTCAATTGCCTAATCGTTATGACATTTCTTTGAATCGGTGGTTTCCTACTGGGGTGATTTGTTTCCAGGTGACACTTGACAGGAACTGGGTCCATTTTTGGTTGTCACTACAGAGGGAAAAGGTGTTATTGGCACTTGGAAGGCAGAGGCCAGGGTTGCTGCTAAGTGTCCTGCAGTGCACGAGACAACCCCTCCCAATGAAGAATGTTCCACACCAAAATGTAAAAAGTGCTGTGGTTCAAAACCTTGCTTTAAATTTTGAAATGTAATTTTTTCTCATATTCTTCACTAATAATTCTCTAACTCTACCTTATGGTGGTTCCATAGTTAATAATTGATTTTAATGTTAGTTATTTTTTATCCACCAATTTCTATGAGAAAATTTACCAAAGTCATTTTTACAAAGTTTTGTTCATTAAAAATTTAATTATTCTTGGGTCTATGAACATTATTCAATTTAGATGAAGCATCTCTGTTTTATATTTTACAAAGGATTTGCATGTGTTAAAAAACATACCAAATTATTCTGAAATATGTTTCACACACATACACTCATAAATATGTTATAGTTCTAATGAAAAGGTTTTTAAGAAGTTATTTGGTTAAAAAACTTAGAGCTGTCAAAAAGATAAGATTTCTACTCCCAGGAAAACACTATTTTTGATGCATTTAGGGAAAAATGCTAAAAATAATGCTTTTCTTTAGCTTTTTCCCTATTTTATTTCCAAATTTTACTTATGTTTCATTCTTTTTTGCATTAGTAGATATCAATTATTTATTATTTGGTAGCTGATTTGAAGTTTTTGAATCATTGCTTCTCTCAATAAACCATTAGGCAAATTTCTAACTAAACAGATGGGCCTTAACTTGTTTTACAAAATTTACATTTTACCAAATGGGAATAATTAGACGTAAATAATCAGTGTAAGCAGTGCATGTATTTAGAGAGAAGTTTCTCTTCTCTTTTCGCAAAACCGTCATGACAGTGTTCCACATCTTGCACGTGAATTTAAAAAGACAACCGTTTCAATTTGAATGACTGTCACTTATTGCATATAAATTTCTCTTTAGTTTACAACACACTTTAATGCCAGATGCATCCCTGAATTTCCACATGAATCACATCTTCTCACTTGTCTTTCTACAACCTTGAAATGTGCAGTATACATATTCCATTGCATATATTTATTTACTATGCTGCCCTACACTCCCATTTTTTGAATGTGCAGTATTTCCCATTAAAGGTTAATGACAAAAATTAATTGTTCTGCATTTTTCTAACATTTATGCCGAAAAACCTGACCTTTTTTGTTTGCTTGTTAATGTACCTTAAGGTACTGGAGCAACAACGTTCAATAGAAATATATGAGCCACAAATCTAATTTAAAATTTCCTACTAGTCACATTAAAAGAAGCAATAAATGGGAGAAATTCATACGTAATAGTAATATATTTTACTCAATACAACATATATCCCAGGTATTATCATTTCAACATGTGACTGATGTAAAAAATTAGTGAGATATCTACATTTCTTTTTATATAAGTCTTCAAAATCTGGTGTGAAGTTTACACTTACAACAAATCTCAATTTAGATGCTAAGTAGTCACTAAAATTACTTGATTACCTGTATTTAGATTTCATAAAATTTACAATAAAAAAAAGTAGATTTACATACCTAAGTTGTTATGAACAAACTTAAAAATGTTCCAGTAACTACATCAAGTACCAGAGAATCATCTTCCTGAAAATTTGCATCCACATTGACAAGTAATTGATTTAACTTTTATGCAAAAGCATGCCAATTTTAAAACTTCATCTAAATTAAATAAATTCACCACTTCTTATGTCAACTCAGTGTTACTAACATTGAATTCAAAGGGATATTGCATAAGTCAAAAAACAACCCACCATTTATCAATATCAACAAAGCCTCTTTTACTTTTATATAATTTACATAATGCTGTCAATTATAATATAAAAGTTTGCCTATTCATACATGTTAGAAAAATGGATCAAATCATCATTATTGATTTGTATTAGGAAAAGTTTCCATTTTAATATAAATACCTGTGTAGCTAGATAACAAATAAGTTTTCCCCTTAATAACATCTACAAGTGTCACCCTGCTGGGCATTATTTTCTAATAACAGTAAACAAATAGACTATTACCATATTTTGCATAACCTCAGTTAACTCTAGCCTACAGTGACCCTATAATTCACTAACCTGCCCCTCTCCCACAAGTGAAGGTAGTCCTACCTTCCTACGTATTAGATTGCTCCCTGGGGGCAAATGTGCGGATAGGGAGCCCGGTTAGGGTCCCCTTTGGCTGGGCAAAGTCTGGATGACATTCACATCAAATTAATTTGCTTTCTATTTGCTTATCTCTTGTTTCAATTTTCTTTTATTTTGAAATTTTAATCTCATCTGAAAAGTCCCTTGAAAGAGGGACTTTAACCAAACAAATCTTTATCCAAACAATTAAATCACCTATTTGAATATATTGTTATACTTACTTCCCAGTCAGCCAGGAACTTCTGCAATTAGGTTCTTCACTGAACCCAGGTCACTAGATCTCCTGGAAAATAATAAATGTTTAAGGTTTTCGTAAAAAAAAGTTTGGGAACTTGTATGTCCTATATTGTCTACACAGTCATTTTTTTAGGTTTTGTGAATTTTGGGGTAGGAATTAATAAGAAAGCATATGTCCACATAAAAGCTTGTACATGAAATTTCATAGCAATATTGTTCATAATAGCCAAAAAGAAGAAACATCCAAATGTCTATCAGCTGATGAATAAATAAGCAGAATGTGGTTTATCCATACAATTAAATATTATTCATCAATAAAAAAGGAATGAAGTGCTGATACATGAGCATGAACCTTGAAAGCATTATGCTAAGTGAAAGAAGCCGGTCACAAAAGGCCATATATTGTATGATTCCATAAGTATGAAATGCCCAGTGTGGGCAATTCCATAGAAACAGAAGTGGCTGCCAGGGGCTGGGAGGAGGGACAACAGGGAATGATTGCTAACGGGTGTTGGGGTTATTTTGGGAGTGATGAAATGTCTGGAGTTAGATAGTGGTGATACTTGCATGACTTCATGAATAAATTAAAATCCGCTGAATTGTATGCTTTAAATGGGTTAATCCCATGGTATGTAGGTTATATTTGAATAAATCTGTTGATGTAAGGAATTATCAAATGATTTTTAAAAATCTATAGTGTTTTTTATAGCCTTCATTAGCCTGCAGAAACTTATGCCCTTAGAACATCCCACCCTGTATTTACCAATAAACTACAGGTCTGTTTCACTTATTTTACATGAAGCACATTATTTTTGCATCTTGCATGTTCTAATTAGACGAGCAGACAAAAGATCTGGAATTTTCTGCTCCAAAATCTGCCACTTATGTGCTGTGTAACTTTGGATCAAGTCTGGCCCTCAATTTCCTCAACTATAAAAATGGCAATGAATAGGATGGCTTGGGTCAGGTACACTTTACAAATACTAGTTTCCCTGAATAATTGAGTTAAAGAGACCTGATGATAGGGAAGGACTTTGCCATTCCTCTGAGAACCTCCAAGTACTGCTGGAGAAAATGGCTTAACAGGTCATGGTCCCAAACTTCAAATGAGTACTCAGCACGGCCGGGACTCCTAACTCTGTTACTCCAGTCAGCAAACTTCTCCGGTCCCACTGCAGGTAGTTGAAACCTCCACTCTGCAAAATCACTCCACTACCACCACCTCCCCTTCTCCTTCCACTGATGTTGCCATTTTACTTCACAAGGAAAACAGAAACCTGTCTATCATATTGCCAATGTCTTAACTCTCCATATGCAAATGCGTATACTTGCCTACGTTCCATCTTCCTTCCTTCCTTTCCTATTGCAATAGCAGAGGGTCTCTCTTGCTTTCAGGCAATTCTTCCACTTGTGCTTTGGGACCCATCCCACCTACCTTCTCAGGAATGTGACACCGTTACTATTAACACCTTTTCTCTCCTAACTGGATCCTTCCCAACAGCTTTTAAATGTGCTTAAGCTTTTCTTATGAAGAAAATAAAACATGAGACTCACAGGATTGCTGCTATTTCTAGTTAGCAGCTAAAGTAGGGCTACTCTTGGGCAATAGTGGAACCATTTACCATGGTTTACAATTTACCTTGTTGGCCAGCTTTGAAATTCTTTATTTTGGTGGTGGGGAGCTGTTATCTTGTTTAAATTGGGAATTATTTGCATTCATCCAAATTTTATGCATTGATGTTTTATTCATACTTTTATGTTTTCTGCTTTCAAATTTATATACAGTGTAACCATATTGTGTGATTAGTTATTCTTTGTCTTTATCACTAGACTGTAAGCTCACTGAGAACCAAATCAGTATCTGTATCGTCAGTGCTGAACTCATAAGAGTTCAGTAAATGTTGAATAAATGAATGAAGGAATTAAATTCTGTAAGACAGAGCCTAAACATAAGTAAGGACTAAATATCAGCTCATTTGAAATCAGGCTGGTTCACAGATGTAAAATATTTTTTAATGTATCATATGCATCATGATATCCAAATATAAGCATTGAAAATTTTTGATATTTTTATTTAGGCCATGGAAGCAGGACTCTCAGAGGTGAAAAGTGAGTTGCAGTCACGTGATGATCTCTTGAGAATTACAGAAATGGAACGACTGCAGTTGCATAGAGAATTATTAAGAATGGGAGAGTGCCAAAATGCTCAAGAAAATAAAAAAAGGTAAATTCTTTATATTCAGCAGCCTGACACTGTTCAAAACATGATGTTTGAATATTTTTAAGAACTTTATATTTGCAAGTAGAATTAAAAGTCTATTTGTTTTGTTTTGATACTGTTAATTATTGAGTAATATTAGATATTAAAAGTAAAATTAGTGATTATTTTATCTTCTAAATTAATATCTTTAACTAGAAAATTATATCATGTTGTGATTTGTGAACATTTAATGTGTCACACTGAGTCAGAAATTTTCATAGAACTTTTATTCTTTAGGATATTGCAAAAATAATAGTATTGAGCTGGTATTTAATGTTATATGTTGATAAATAAGATTTATTCCATATTTTCCAAATGCTTTTATTTTGACTGTCTATAAACCTGTTATTAACTTGTTCGCTTGTAAATATTATTTATATTGGCCTCCACATTCACCATCTTGTCAGTTCCATTATGGGTTTTGTTAGAAGAGATATTTTTTTTTCTTTTAAAATCAGACAGATATTGCAGACTGCAGAACCACAAAGGTAATGGGATTGCTGAGGATTATTAAATGTTTTATGCTTATGACTAGGCAGTTTGACTACTGTAACCATTCAATGATGTTCAAAGTCTCATTAGAACTTGAATCCTTCTTAAATCTCAAGGCTAAGGACAATTGATTAGCCAAATGGTGAGTGAGGAATAGTTTACTGAAAGATAATCATACTGCTTTAAAGGCAATAATTATTTCTTCAAAGTTGTGGGACCTGCTCACATTTCTTTAAGGTCTACACTTAACAACAAATGCCAAATTAAAATCCCCCAAAATGGCCTACGGTATGTCTCACTAAGGATGGCAGAATGCCTATGAGCTAGTCAGCATTATTGAACACTCCATGTGCAAGCTATATATCATCTTCACCAGTCATTAATAAATATAATGGAAAAATATTATATGCAAGGTACTGTCCCTGTGCAGTGAGTTGGTGAGAAATGTCTTCGCACAAAAAAATGTACTTGCCTAAAAGCATAATTGTCTAGAAGAGCAAACCATTCGGCCCATGTGTAGCTCTAGTTCTGGGAAGAGGACTGTGCGTACTTTCTACAAAGCTGTCTCACGAGGCCTCTGCTGGACTGCAAACATTGCCAACTTTCCTTCAACACATGATTTAATCTAAAATCTTGCAGTTGTTCACATATTTGACCAATGTCACTTTTTTGTTATGCCTCATTGCTCTCCTTTAAGTTGGTATTTATTTTGGTCTCCAAACTGTATTTTTCTCTTTTCACGGTTTTCCTCAGTTCTAGTATTCTGAGATTTGATGAAAGATATTTAACTTTTCCAGATTACATTGTATTTTAGACTTTGTGTATAAGACTCCTTAGCTTTCATCATGCCCATTTGAAAGTTTATAATCCTTTGAGTTGGTTCTCATGTGAATGTAGTTTTATCTTCTTTAATGTTTTGGTTTCTTTTATTTGGACTCTGTTTCTTCTTTACAGTTGTATTAAGATAACGCAGCCCAGATACTGAATGCAGCTCAAATGCACACTAGTTTTATAGAAGTAGCACTGCAGTGTTTTCATTCATTTTCAGAAACTTTTTCATTAATGCTAAGATTTTGTTAGCTTTTTGTTTTTCTTTTTTTCAGTTGTAGAAGCACCTAGGGTTGACATGTTCTGAGAGTTATTAAAAATAATTCCAACACTCCTTTCCTACATGACAAATGATTGTTCCTTTATATATTTATATTAGCATGATTACTGTCTTCTTTGAATTTGTCCACTTTGAAGTTTGACATTTGTTACATTCACTTAATGAAATTTACAAGATCATGAGTTTTTTATCCATTCAGTTCAGCATTTCACTCCCTGAAATTGCTTAGGAAGAATTGAAAAACAGGAAATTTCATTTTTTACCTCTTCCAAATCATAGCAAATGAGAAACATATAAGACTGGTCCTGAAATAATGCTTTAGGAGAATATTGCATAAAATGCTCACAGTATATCACTGAGTGGGAAACAAAAGGGGACTGAAAAATAATGTGTACAACACATTCTAATTGTACTAGAAAACTAGAAATGTTTCCAACAAACTAATAATCTCTGTAAACTACAATGATCTAAATTTACAATATATCATACCAATTTATCAAGTTAAGCTTAATTTTTACTCATTTTAATTTGCAGACTTGAATCATCTTATTTACCTCCTCCTAAAGAACCAGAAAGGAAAAAGAAAGAGGTGTTTTCAGTGACCCCAGATAAACCAAATCATGAAAAAGAATTGAGCAAGGTATGGAAAATAATGAGTTCCATTCTCCAGGTAGATAAGAAGTTTTTTAATAGAAAGGGGGAAAAAAATCTTCCTTCTCATTCCCTTCTTCTTCCTTCTATATTTTCTAAGATAATAGCCTATCAAGCCGCTAATTCTGACACCCTTCTGTGTGATGCTATAAAAAACACAAATGTTGGGTCATCACTGTGTCGCTGGGAGACAGCCTGTGAAACATGGAGGGCCTGTGGCTCTGTGAGAAGCAGCTTACAGCAGGAAGTATGAAAGCACAGACCCTGGCACTCGGCCACATGTTAGGTGCATAAGCTGGGGGAAGTTGCCCATGCAGGTTGCTCAGAGTCCTCCTTTGCAGGATGGGATAATTAGTACTTACCTTTAAGGCTGTGATGAGGGTTAAATGAGCTACCAATAGTGGCTACTTAAACAGCACTTGCCATATGCCAGTTGCTGTTCCAAGGGTTTAACAAATCCTAATTCATTTATTCCTCACAACTATCTTAACAAGATTGATATTAATATTATCCTCTTTTTACATTTACAGTAACTAGAACACAGAAAATATTACACAGCTAGTAAGTGGCAGAGGCCAGATTTGAATGCAATCAGGCTTCAGAGCCCGTACTTTTCCCTTAGGTTAAAATCCATAAAGCAATACATGTAAAGTGCTCAGAACAGGGCCTGGCTAGCTCAGAAGTAAACCTAGCAAATGGTGGCTGCCCAATTTTATTGGTTACACCCACATTTTGACACTGAACATCTAACTTGTACCTGGTACTCTCCCAGGAGCTAGGAATACAAGGATGAATAAGACCTGAGCGCTGTCCTTGAAGACCTCATGGCTCTCACTTCTCCTACAAAAAGTATATTCTCTTCTCCCTCTAGTAAGATCCAGTGGTGGCTTTCTTTGCATGAGTTTATCATACCTACTACCCACTTCTCTGGTCTTTTGGTTTGTGGATCAGACAGAATATTCAATGCTACATAATCAAACAATGGTGAAAAGTAGGAAAAACTTAGGCATGGCTTTGAATTATCATCCAGTACCAGATACACAATAAATAAAAGAAATATTTAGAGAATGAATTCATTAACATTAACACTAAGGTCTTGCATAATTGTGTAGGGTCATAAATTTAGCTGTTTATATACATTCAGTAAACATTTATTGAGCATCTAGTAGGACAATAGCCATTCTGTTTATTTCCGTAGGAAATACAATAATGCAAAAGACAAATCCTGTCCTCCCAAAGAGTTGGCTGTCAGGTGACTGTTCAGTGTAGAAAAGGTGTTATGAATTGATGATCATTTTCCTTATGTTTTTCACATAACTCATGAAACTTATTTTCCTATTTAAAAATAGAATTTAAAAAACTGCTCTTGAGTGGTGTCCCCAGTGAATGCATTATGATACAGGTGTGACTAATGCCACCTAAAGTAGGATTAAAGCGTTCTTAACCTCATAGATTTAGGTAGAGTAACAAAACTTTGAGTAATATAAGGAATCTACTGATTTTGCATGGTTTTGATATGGAAGGAGAGAAGCCGAGGCACAAATCTCTTCATGGGCTTTTGGAGACCTCTAGAGAATGCATTGCTGTGTAGAAGAGGTAACAAATGAATTGCGTATAAATAGCAATAGCTTCCCAGAAGTGTTTGTGTAGAGGATTTTCATCCTCTTGTAATAAAACCACCAAAACCCATGTATTATGAATCTTGCCAGTGTTATATTTCTTTTTTTTTTTATCCAATCCAGGACTATTTTTAGTCATTTATTTTGTGATAAAATTGACATTTTTAATAAAGCCCAAAGTCATTTAGCACTAGATAAATTAATTTCATTTAGAAAGAAGCTTTGCAGTAGAGCATGTTGTTTTAAGATCTAAATGTTGTGAAAATAAGAATAGTTTACTCCTTTTTCATAATAGTATATTCATTTTTTTTTCTAACTTAAAAGTTCTATTTTAAGAGCACATGTTAACTAACTGCGCCACAGGGATGCACTCAGCAAAATCCAAACTGGGGCAAACTACAGAACAGCCCATTTATTACACCAAATAATCGTAAGGAACAAAACGGGAGAGAGAAGATGGGAGATGGAAGGCGACGTGGAGCACTGTCCTCTGGGTGAGGGTATTTGTCTCCCAGTCTCCTAGGCTACTCTTTTGCTCTAAGCTGCTGGAGAACTTAGGCCCAGTCAGTTCCCTTCCATGTGAGTCGGGTTTTTTTTCACTCTTTTAAATGATGGGGTTAGATTGTGTGATTTTTAGAGTCCTGTCCAACTCTGAAATTCTAAAAATGTTAGTAGTAAGAATAGAATCAAATGAGGGGCTGGTGGTATGAAGCCTGAGGATGGATCAAGCCTGTCCTCTGGACTTGCATGCTTTCCACATCAGGTCATCCCACTGTATCTCTTTCCTGCCTAGGAACCACCTTCTAGGGCTCTGCTCACAGAGGTTACATGCGCGGTTGGTAAGGTCCTGGAGTCAGACTGCCTGTCACCAGGAATGTGACTGTGAAAAGCTGCGTACCTTAATTTTCTAATCTGAAAAACAGATACTGTGGGGATTAAATGAGATCATGTATGAGTAGTACAAAAAGAGCCGCTTTAAGAAGGTATGAGCCAGTCTCAATTCAAATAAATTTAAAGAACATTCATTACACTTGTGACACAATTTTAAATTTGAATACTGCCTGGATATTTCATGATATTGAGGAATTATTATTCATGTTTTAAAGACATTATAGTGGTATTCTGGCTATGTTGAAAAAAGTGCCCTTATCCTTTTAATATATCTTTTATGCCTCTTATACACACACACACACACACACACACACACACACACACACACATACACAAAGATATATCCTATGTTTAAAGATTAAATGAAAAAAAAATTAAGTTTTAAAAGTAAGTGCCTGGTGGCAAATTCATATAAATCTCTGTGGGTTGGCCTCTACTTAAACTCTCCAGCTTTATTTTTCAAAACATGCCACATTCCAGCCCCTCCAAACACTTTCAGTTCCCCAAACGTGCGCTCTCTTGTCTCTCTGCCTTCACTGTATCCTTTGCCTGGGAGCCCTTCTGCATCTCTGTCTTCTGTCTGGCTTCCATTCATTCTTCAGTATATGACCTGATGTCCACTCCTCTGGGAATCCTATCCTGAGATCCCCATGGGGTTAAGTACCCCTCCACTACCTACTACTGACATCCGTTGCTACACTGTGTTATAACTGTTTATTTTTCTGTTTCCCCCAGTGGACTATGATTTTTTTTTAAGATTGGTGATTGTGTACTTTATCTAGAGGCAATGAATGATTTCCAGAAAGACAATAAGAGGCTGGACTAAGACAATAGTAGTAGGAATGGAGAGCAGAGATGAGATTTAAGAGAGGTTGAAATAGAAGGGACGGAATTTGCTGCCTGACTGGACTTGGGAGACCAAGGTCAGGACGGAGTCAAGGCGATCCAGAGGTCCCTCACGTGGAAGGCTGAGCTGTGATTAAGGACCTGAGAGTCCACTGGCTTAAGGGGAGGAGCTGATGCATTTTCATGGACATATTATGTGTGAAATTTATTATAACATGATTCTAAAAAACATAGTGTGTATTTACAAACAGGACAGCACAATTTAGTTCCCCCAAAAGGCACTCAGTTTAAAGCCAAGAGTCCTAGGTTCTAGCCCTTGCTCTGCCAGTTAATAGCTTTATGCCTTTGAGCAAGTCACTTAGCCATTTTTTTCTGCTCCCAAAAATGCTTGGTCCTTCAACTTCTGAGTTGTGGCTCCGTGCTCTTCCACCACACCACTCTGGAGTAGTTGTTCAGTGGGTATGAAGTTATGTTAAACATGATGAGTAAGTTCCAGAATGTGCCACACAGCATAGTGCCTGGAGTTAACACTAAGGCATTGTGCACCGAAGAATTTGTGAAGAGGGTAGTCTCATGTTAAGTGTTGTTGCCACACACCCAAAAAAGTTAAAAACAACAAAGGAACATGAGGAGACTTTTGGAGTTAAGAGGCAGATGTATTACCTTGATTGTGGTGATAGCAACATTTGTAAGTGTGTACCCTAACTGCACACATTAGTTATGGGCAATTATTTTGTATACCAATTAATAACTCAGTAAAGCTGGGGAAAAATCCTATAATACTTTCTCCACCTTCCCATCAAAGTAGGTATCAAAGTAATATCAGTAAGAGGTGATGATTTGCATATAATAGAAAATAGAAGTGAGAAATGGAAATATGAAATTGGAAGGAAAAATTCAAATGAACCATTATTGTAAGTACGTGTTTTTAATTTTGCATTGATCAGCTAAGGTGGGTGAAATAGGGCTGCCAATGTTTTAAGACTGAACATGCCTCAAAAAGCTTTAAGTTGCTTTATAAATAAAAGGATTTGTTAATATTTTCCGGAATATATCTGCTGCAGATAAGAAGCCAACTCTATCAGGAGGAAGAGAACCGCAGCTCTGAGCGGGAAAGAATGAGGCATGAGATCTGCGACCTAACAGAGGAGCTTCATCAGAAGGATGTCACTATAGCAACAATCACGAAGAAAGCCTCCCTTCTGGAAAGACAGTTAAAAATGGAATTAGAAATAAAAGAAAAAATGTTAGCAAAACAACAGGTATGCAGGTGGGCAGGACAGCACCTGCCCAGGTCACCCTCTTGCTCAGTGCACAGAGCACCCCTCATTATTGTCTAATAGAAGCATAAAAGTTCTGGTATTGTTTCTGTGACTAGACTAATGTCACAGAAATGCTTTATGGAGTCACCTGAGACCTTTGTGAGATAATGCAAATATCACCAAAAAGAACCAGGGAAATAAGTGGCAGCACAAGATAATTTCATGAAATCTCATCCTAACATTTTCTTGTGACCCATATTTTGATCACCCCCCACAGAATGCTCTAGTCAAAGACTTCTTCCTCAGTTTTTCTATGTTCCCTTCCATTAACACTTTTATCTTTTTTAAAAAAAGCCTCTATTCCAGCTTTTCTTGAATATTTCCCACTCCCAGTTCATATATTTATTTTAGGATTTAGAAATATGGGTGTTGAAACATGAAAATCAGTGCACTGATTTCATGGTTCATGGGGGAAAAGCAGCAATTAAAACATTCTACTGTAAATATACTGCAGGTAATTTCTAAGTTCCCCCCCCTCCTCCCTTGCTTCCTTCCTACTTATTTTGAAATTCCCTCAATCCCTCACTCTTCATCAAAATGATGACCTGCTCCCAAGAGCAGAGTTTATCTGCTTTTTTTACCCCACATTAGAGGTTTTGAGAGCACCAGTCAATAATTTTCCAGGCATTTGATAGTCACTCCATCCATAGCTGTTTAAATCCTGTGCATTATAAAAACAAGAAAAGATTCAGCCTTTGCCCAGGTATAAGTCTTAAACTGTGATTAATTTGTACAATACACAGGAAGACCTCATAGATGGGATAGCATTGGTAGTACCTGAAAAGGGTATTTTACAGATGTTAATGTTGATCCAGGTAGTTGGATTATAAATGACTTTTACTTTCACCTTTATATTTTTCTATATTTTTTCATTTTTTGTCAAGGAGAATATATTTTGTAATTTGCAAAAGTAAATCCTTTTAAGGAAAGTGTTTTATGTAGGATAAATAAAAGGGCATATACACTGTCAAGTAGAAGAAATAAGGGGAAGAAGTTAGGAGACAAAATGTAGTAGTCACAAAAAAAGAAGGAAAATTTGGCAGAAATATCAGGAACAAAATTAAACATGAAAGTCATATTTGCATATTATGAAAATGGATGAGATAGTGAAGAAATTTAATGGACAGTGTTATTCAAGTATGTTTTTACATTGTGCTTTTCTGGTGACAATTTGCGTTCAATAGAAAACAGAAGCGAGAAATGGGATTTTGGAATAGGAAAGGAAAAAAAATTAAATGAATCATTATCCTAAGTATCTGTTTTTAATTTAGCACTAAATTTGTATAAAACAAGTAAAGTGGGGCCTGCCAAAGATAGAAGACAGCACGAGATACCTGATTTATGATGCCCATGCCTAAGAAGTGTTTCCCTTCAGCACACTTATAAAGTATTTATATTAACAGCATATAACTAACTTTAATAGAATTGTGAGCTTTTCTTGTGAATTCTACACTTTACTTATTAATCAATCTCCTTTCAGGTCTCAGGCATGAGGTATAAAGCCGTCAGAAGTGAAAACACACATCTAAAAGGAATGATGGGAGATTTAGACCCGGGACAGTACATGGTAATATGCTGAAATCATTCAGTAAATTGAACCAAAAGCTGACTTAGGTGGTTATTTACTTAGGCCGTTACTTACTGAGCCCTTCCTATGTGTCACACTCACAGGAGTTGGGGTTGGGAAATAATCTTGCACTTAGAGTGAATTTACTTTGATCCTCAGGCCAGCACATGTGAATTTCAATTTTTCTCCTTTGTTCTTGGATGGGGCTCATTCTGATCATTTCCTCCAACATGCTCCTTCCTTGCATTTGCACTTGCTGATGCCTCTGGAATCCTCCATCCTACATGGCCTGACTCAAGCGTCAACCTGGCCCTGGAACTCGAGACAGAATGAATTGCTCCATCCACACTTGGCTTGTATTTTGGCCAGACTTGTTTTGTAGCTTGTCACTTCCCCACTGGGTGGTGAACAGACACTGTGTATTGTTTGTATCACTAGCGCCTCCCAGCGTCAGGGGTATAGTTCAGTGGAAGTTAGTTGAATAAAAAGAAGGATGTAAATGAATGATTGAGGATTGACCTTGTGGTTTAAACCAGTAGCTCTACAGGTTTACACAAGGCAACTTAAACAGGCTCTGTGCTTTTCGTTTCGATTATTGAATATAACAGTTGAAGGTAGGTTTTTATATGTAAATAAGAGAACTTTTATTTTTTGAACTAATGAAATAAAATTGTTTTTTGTTTACCATTTATTTGCTCTGTGAGAAAATTACGAAATAAAGTAATTTTTCAACCATTCAGGGAATGGAGAGGATAAGAGATGAGTACAGTAGTTGCTTTACCTGGCCTCAGTGTCCTCAGCTATGAAATAAGGACGTTAGGTTAGGCATTCACCACGGTCCCTGCTTACGCCAGTGGGCTGCATTTCCATGATAGTATGAACTTGTTCTCATATTCTATCATCAAAGATCAGAAGCATTCTGGAAGCACTCTGCCTTCCTCTTTAGGCTGGTTATGGATCCCGTGATTGGAGTATAGGTAAAAAGTATATGTGGTTTTCTACCTGTTACATAAAAATCTGTGTGACACTTAGGACTTTTATTTCTAAACATTGGATCCTGCCCCCATGAAGGTCTTCTTTTTCTCTTACAAAATGGTTTCCTGTTTTTTTAAATTTCAGTCTGAAGGTTTTTAGGTGTGTATTCTCGCCTGCTCTGAGCCTGCTTCACTCTGGCTCCTGTAGGCATTTGGCTTTGCTCATGTCTTTTTGTCTTTCTGAAACAAAACATCTAAAGATGTGTAAAAGAAGCCACTAATCATGCCCACTCCTGTCCCCAACCCCTGTCTGGGCTCAAGAGACAGCCAGTGCTTACACGCTCATGTGGGGCATCCTGTCACTTTCTCCTTGCTTGTGCACATGTATACAAGGGCTGTGTTGAGTATTATTTTACAGAAATAAATGTATAAACTGCCTTTGACTCTATTTCATGGACATCTCTGCAAGACAGCAGAGAAACATCTTTATATTTATCTTAATGTCTTAGGAAAGATAAATACATACTCATGTAAACATATATAATTTTAGCAAATTGAATCATAACTTTCATACCAGTGATTTTAGTGACGTTTCTCTTTCTTTCCTGCTTCTCACCTTTTCCTTTCCTCCTTTTCTCTACCCACCTCATACCCAGCCACCAGGTAACACATGTTAAGTCTTCAGTATTTTTCATTTTGTATTTTTTTACATATATGAAATCATATGTATGTGTGAGAATATATATATACATGTATGTGTGTGTATATGTAACCATTTAACTTTTTTCAAAAATTGGATTATATTATGCATACTTCTCTGTGTCTTGTTTTTCTTTACTCAATGTCCTTTGCAAATCCTTACAACCAAATTGGTCTAGGCCTGTTTCATTTTGTATATCATTTTGTATAATGGCTTAATAATATCCCATGATGTGAATGTATCAGATCTTATTCAACTGTTTTTCAGAACTGAGTCATTCATAATTCATTCAACTCTGTTTCTAGATTTTTGCACAAACAATACTGTCAAAAACATGATCTTGGAATAGCTTTTAAGAATAGAATTGCTGATTCAAAGGATATGTGTGTTTTAATTCTAAAACATTTCTTGTCAAATTGCATTTTTACCGTCCCTATATGTGAGTACCTTCTCATTCATCCTTAACAGCAATAGTTACTGCTTTTTAGGATTTTTGTCAGCCTGATGACTATAAAGTGATTTCTCAATAGTACTTAAATTTGCATTTCCCTGATGACAGTGACCATATTTTTGTATATTTATTGGCAGTGTACTATGAATTAGTCATATTCTTTGCTCACTTTTCTGTTGGGCCAGCTTTTTCTTATAACAGTACTTTTCTAAATTTGCTGTAAGTTTATGTTATCTTTTTACCTTACAAAAAGTTTTAAACTTTCATTTGTCAAATATGTATATCTGTTTTTTATAGGTTCTAAATATCCTTTCTTGAATAACAAGGTTCTTCCAACTTCTAGACAATATAGTTTCTTAGAGTTTTTTTCAAAGATTTAAAAAATTTTCATCTAAGTTCTTAATTCATATGAATTGTAATTTTATATGTGATATAAAACAGGAACCCAAATTAAAATGCTATATGAATGTTGGCTCATTTTATCTAGTTTCTCCTGATAATTTCCTCTTGGATTTATTTGGAATCAAAGTAAATATATATATTAAGTTTGAAAGAATTGGCATTTTTATGATAATAACTTTGCCCATCCAAAGATATGAAGTGGCTTTCCATTTCTTCATATGTTATTTTATGTTCTTCAATAAGATCTTACACTTTTCGTTGCATAGTTCTGTCTTTTTAAAAAAATTATTCTATTCTCAGATATTTTATAATTCTTGTCGCTGTTTTAAGTAGAATATTTACCTTTCTCCATACCTAAGAACTTACTGCTAATATATAAAAAAGGCCAAATTATCTTTTAAATTTAGTAGGCATTTCATTAGAAGTTCTTAAATTTCTTTGAGATCTATAATCATATTAACAAAAATAGTTTTATCTCTTCTTTTCTACTGTTCCTATTACTACTTTTGTCATATTGCATTTGCTAAAACCTCCAAGAGAATGTTAAAAAAAATAGATTGCTGACAAATTCTCTTATTTCTGATTTTAGATAAAATCAACTTACAGTTTTACTGTTTAGGATAATATTTGTTCTTGGCTGCTGGTCTGTTATATCTATTCCTAATTTACCTGAGAGTTCTTAAGATTTTCTGCCGGTTTTTATCAAATGCTTTTCAGCATAATGACATCATGTATTTTTTGTCCATTAATTTGTTGATGTCTAATAGACCATGGTTGACAGATTTCCTGATCTTGATCTACCTTTGAATTCCTGGAATAAACCTTCTTGGTCATTGTATTTATTTGTTAGGCTGCCATTAGCAAAGTGCCACAAACTGAGTGGCTTCAAACAACAGAAACATATTGTCACAATTCTGGAAAATTAAAGTCCAAAATCAAGGTGTCAACAGGGCCAAGCTCTCTCTGAAACCTACAGGAAGGAGTATTCCTTGCCTCCTTATAGCTTCTAGTGACTTGCTAGCAATCTTTGGCAGTCCTTGGCTGGCAGAGGCATCATTCTAACCCCCTGTGTTCGCATGGTATCATTCACATTTCTTCTTCCTGTTTCTTATCATCTTCCCTTCATACCTGTCTGTCTCTTTGTCCAAATTTCCCCTTTTCATAGAATACTCATCACACTGGAGGAGAGCCCACCCTAACAACCTCGTTTTTGCTTAAATACTTCTGTAAAGATCCTATTTCCAAATGAGGTCACATTCTGAGATACCAGGGGTCAGGAACTTCAACATATCTTTTTTGGGGAACAAAATTCAACCCATAACAGTCATATTCTAACTAAATTTTGATATACAGCTGTGTACATGTGATGATATCTTATTTAGAAATGAAGATGTGTGTAGAAATGAGATTATTTGTGTATAGTTCTTTTTTCTACGTGTTTTAGTTATGCTGGCTTTATAACAAACTGGGGCTTTCCATCTTTATGAGTGGTTTAAAATAGTTTAAGTAATATGGAATTATCAATTCTTTAAAGTTAGAAGGAATTTAGCTGTAAAACCATCTGGACATTGAAGTTTCGATGAAGGAGATCTTCAATTACCGTCCCATTCTCTTTTAGGGTACCTGGTATATTAAAATCTCCCTTCTGAGGTTGTTTTTGGTAACTTATATTTTTCTGGGAAATACTTACCCATTACAATTTGTTTCCTTATCACTAACGGTAGTACTAGTACCCTACAATTCTTTTCAACTTTTCTTTATTTGATGTTTATGTTTCCTTTCTTATTCCTCAACTTGCATAGTTCAGCTCACCTCTTTCTTTTTCTTAAGTCTGGTACACTAGGGAATTATATATTTTATTACTATTTAAAAGTATAAGCCATTTGGATTTATTATTATTTAATCTATTCTAATTTCATTATGTTTAGCTTTAATCAGTTTTCTCTTCCTGGTTTGTTTTGTATTTTGCTGCACTTTGTCTAATTTCCCAAGGTAAGTGCTGACTTTCTTAATTTTATTTATTTTTCTTTAATTGTAAAGGCTTTTAAAGTCAAATATGTTCCTCTGGATTTAGCTTTTGCTGCATCCCTTCAACTTTGCAATGAACTGCTCTCCTGTATTCTTCTTTCTGAATGCGTTCTCCTGATCATAGAGTAGAGTGGGCCTGGTCTCCGAGAGCAGGGAGGGGAGACCACGCTCACTCAACAGCTAAGGTAACACAGCTGAGCAACAGAAAGGAGGAGCAACCAGAAAGAAGACTGCAACAGATGGCCTACATCTGTGAAAGAGAGAAGACCTCATGGAAATGGGTGAAGTAGCAAAGCCGGGATCCCACAGAACCCAAGCCCTCTCCCCACCCCAGCTCACTGGTAGGAGGAAAAGAAACATAGCAGAGATGGAGTAGAAGCCCAGGACTGCTAAATACCCACCCCTGGAGATCTACTCCAGCAGCATGAACCCACATTACATGGTG